GGAATAATGCTACAAATCATATTTCGTTAAGTTGAGGTTTACTTTGAGTGTTAGAACACAAACGTATACAACCGTTTTGACAAAGAATTCAATAAAGAAACTACTAGTGTTGACTCTTCTGAAACTTTATGTTTCTATATTTATAAGGAATATATATGTATATATATTAATGAAAAATCTCTGCGTGGCAAGGATTGAAATAAAGTTACAATCATCCTTGTACTACCAAAGAGGACAACAATATCTTGCGGGTATATTTCTCATGTTCTGATCTCTGCTTCTTTTATCATCTGCTCCCACTGGGCGATGAGGGCACTCTTGCGTCGTGTCTTTTCTACGGTTGCATCCTGTGGGAGGTTATCAGAAAAAAAAAGGCTTAATATAACCACGTTCTTTCTATAATGTTGTAATAATCTTTTACGCAGTCTTAGAAATGTTACATGTTTGTAGCCCAGTTTTAGTGTTTGAGAGCGCACAGGAATGAAATTAGGTAATTCATTGTGAACCTGTAAGAAAAATTGAGTTACAAAATTATTGCAAAAGTGCCAGTAAATATTTATAGATGCTACAAGTTATAAATCAATTATTACCATCTGAAAGAATAGGTTAATGGTGGGTTATGGAATAACACAAGCCTGCGATGGTTTTATTGTCTTGAAATTTTTACATGTTCTACAGTATTTCCTATACACTGAATCCGAAAATGCTATCAATTTTTCTCCAACACGTACAGATTTTTCACAAAAATGTCATATGTAGAGGAATATACATTATCAGTTACTTCCCTTTTACTGTGAATTAATATTTGGACATCATATAGTTAGCCCCCTTTCTTGCTTACGCCATTTGTAATCCATCGGTCAATAATCATAGTAGTGTTTCCATCTTATTTACGTTGTAAGTAGCATTGTCTCCATCCTATTCACGTCTAATCTGTACTAATGCATTAGCTGAATGTATATGACTGATTATTGTTTGATTCCATTACTCACCTTTTCGTATGTATATGTTTCAGATCTCCATCATTCTAGATGTCATAGTTCATGAATAAAGGATATCAAGAAACAGTAGTCCATACTCATTTAATGTGTACTTTTACATAAGTGAGTCATATTCATTGAAATCAGGTCACATTTTGTTATGCCGAAAATGTTGACAACCACTGGCTATAGATTTCTCTAAACCAATCGTGACGCGAGTCTTATTGATCGTTTTAAAACCCACGAGAAACACACCGCTGATATATAAACGGTTAACAGGCCACATGACGTGTCATTTCTGAATAGTATTTGTTTGTGCATGCACTTTGACATTATTTTTCATTGTCAATATTATTTATTCGTTGCTATGGCAACAAGAGATTGTTCAAATGACCCATACATATATTTGTGGTAAATTTTATCAATGTAAGAGTTTTTTCTTTCTTACAGATTTTTAAAAAATCCCTACGTGATAGAAAAAAATGAAAATTATTTTCAAAATCCGTTTAGCTGAATTATGGTAAACCCGTTACTAAAACCAAAACAGCTTTTACGAAGTTTAAATTTATAGGCCTATATTATTAATCACCAACTATAAGAAAATAACCAAGATTTTAACTGACTTAATGTTCGAAATAAATTTAACATGGAGAAATTCTGATGTAATGTGAAATTCATTAGAATTTATTCTTGAAAAACTTAATTTGTGTCAGATAAATTACATAGTGAAGTCCACGTAGTCTTTGAGATTATGTAAATTGCAAATGACTAACTATCTTCTTTAAAATATTCAAAATAGTTAAAAAATAAATAATTAAAACAAAGTAAGAGGTTTGCCGTTGGCTGAAAGAAACAATAGCTTTAAAATATTTTGATATTTGAATTAATATGTATTACTTTATAAGTTTTGAGATTGTATCTGCCTTGTGATGTGAGGAAAAAACATATATTTTAAGTTTAAAAATATACGAATTCCCTGTAGAAGACGGGGTCATAAATTAATAAAACAAGAAAGATTTATACTAGCGAATAAAATCAAATTTAAGGAATAAGATAGGTCTATAGCAAATTTCCTTAAAGCCAAGTGTAAATTTTTGATAAGACAATTATTTAGAAATGCTTGTTTTAGAAATAATGTAAGCTGTTCATGTCTCAATTCCGCAACCTTTTAAGTGTGAAATAAAACTACAGGACCTTTTCGAAAGTTATTGGTTGTTGGATAAAAACGATGCGAGTTATAATAGGAAATTTTCATACATAATACATTTAATTATTCCAAAATGTAAACAGTAATACTGTGTTATAAAACTATTGCTAAAGAGATAAATCAATTAAAAATTATTTAATAAAAAAATCAAATAAGTACCGTATTAATAAGAATATTAGTGAAATACGTTTTATTTGTTTGGTTTGTCGAATTCTCGCAAAGCGAAATACGTTTAACTAAAGGAAATTGTAATATCAAATAGCAATAAAATATTAAAAAATGCGCCATTTTAGAATCATGCTGTTATGAATACTAAGGGAGGGGTTAGAAGGAGCAAATCCTCATAAGCATTTTTAGGGGAGGGAAGAGGATTGAAGAAAATAAAGTGGAGAAAACAAAATGTAAGTAGGTTAACAATAAGTTTATTTTGCTTTTCTTAGTTATACCACGTCTATACAAAAGGTTGTAGTTACTGAAGCGAGATGAAATCCTTTGTATTTTCTAAAATGTTGAATGCATTCCTATAATATTATATGCAAATATAATAAAGATAGATATAAACAAAAAATAATAATTTTAATTTTTAGCCTTTTTGTACTCTGAGGTGTACTGATTTCTCCTTAAGAATAATCGGGTAGGAGTCGCAGAATATTCGGAGGTTAAGATAGAAACTATATTACACGAGTTATACTAAGTAGGTGGAAGGAAACATACTACAGAATAGATGATAATGAGATGTGTTCAGATTACTCCAACTGGAGTTGGGATATATGCTCATTACCAAACTTTAAGAGGGATTTGAAGAACTTGACAAACAGGAGTAAAGGAAAAATGAAAAATTCCGAGAGAGTTGTCAAAAAACAGATCTTAGGCGCAACTAATTATGAGCTACTACTAATCTGAACTAATCGAAACTGTCGTAAACAGATAACCTGCTAAATAAATCAAGAAATAAACATTTTTCTAAGCCTGATCTACTAGATCAGTCATACCTTTGTTTTAGAAAGCAAACTTTAATGAAATGAATTTTCTCTCGAATGATTGCATCATTTCTATATTTTATCCTGACATTATTTATTCTTGAGATGTCACTAATGAATATTATAGATTTAATTTTTGGTTATTTGAGCACAATGTTAAAAATTAGGCTGTATGCACTCTGTTTACCACAGGGTATATAACCCCGGATTTTAGCATTTTAAGTCCACAAAATTACCGCTGACCAACTGTTGGACATATAGATTCAAGCTTCACCTTATTTATATATTTTAAATATATGCCTATCAAATATATGAAAGTTTTAGATGGTAGACATAATGATTGTAAAACGGCTACTGGGGAGGGAGGGGGGGATAATAAATTCGTTATGTTAATCTTCTTACAAGGCAAACCTAAAGAGGCCTCTATGAATATAACACTGTTACTGAAACATTGTTTGTTTCAGATCATTAACTGTACCAATACATGTGAAGTATTCTCATGTGCACTCAGAGAAATTTTAGAAGGGAAAGGGCTTGGAGAAATAAGC